GAAAAGAAAACATGATGTTCTGGTGGAGACACATCGATCTCTTGAGGAAAAAACATGAAGGTCTTGTGAAAGACAGCGATTTCTTCAACAAGAGACATGAAGGTCTTGGGAAGAAATATGGATTTCTTCGGGAAGAAACAGCGACTTCTTCAGGAAAAAACATGAGGTTCTTCGGAACTAAGATTGATTTCTTCAGGATATTGGAATTTACCATCGCATGGTCGGTTTGCAAAGATTTTCATTTTTTTGTTTCTTGTATATTTTCCGTACATTCTGAAAAAAAGGATACTCTTATCAAACTTTAAAAAGATTTGGTAGTGCTATGACATCTCTTCTTTATTTTTTCCTTTTGAGCACCGGGTCGAACTTTGAGACAGTATCTAAATGGTTTTAGCCTATTAACGCCAACTCTTATTTTGCGCTACAGTTTAGAACGGTTTCATACGAAAAGGTTTGGTCCGTATATCCAGGAGAAGAGGCAAAAAAGGATTCATAACGTTAAACTTTTTTTAAGTTTGGTGCAATACCTTTTTTTAGCTTTTAGATGATTGGTCGTAGGATGGAAAGTCATAAACATTTGAAGGATCAGACGAATTTGGTTTGAAGTAAAATTTGCCATTCGCACGTTTTTCCCAAGTAGCTTTTTCGATATCTTTCGAACGTAGTTGGGTTAATTTATCAAGCATATTTGATGGTCGGCTAGCTAGCGTAGTGTATTCAGGTGGTAAATCTTTCAACAGCTCTTTATCGATTTTAGATTTTGGATCGAGACCACGATCTTTAGTAGGACCAGGAACAAGATTATTTGGATTCCAGATAAATCCTTGAATCAAAAGTTTACAATGTCTGTCTTGAACTTCTGCTTGATCTTTATCTGCCCATGGAAGTTCATTAATTATAAGTGTTTTGACAGCATTATTTCTATCATCGTTCAAGTAACCTTCAATTTTCTGTTTTAAGACGTTATTATCAGGAATTTCTTCCATGTATTTATTCATGCCTTCACGAATTTGAGCTTTTGATATAATATGGTGATCAGCTACGTCTATTTTTTGGCCATTTTGATCGCATTCTTTTCTACTTTGATGGACAAATTTTGACATCTTACGATTAGTTGCCATCTGGCTTCTTAAGTTGGTTAAATCTATGTTATCTAATCTTAACTGACCATCGTTATCTTTATATAAACCAACTGAACTGTTATAATGAACTTGTATATCAGTTCGATTTGTCCATCGAAATTCATTCAACAATGTTTCATCATTTTTATGGCTAAAGAAACATTTTCTCGTAAATTTTTAACAACACTTTCATTGTCAAAAATCTTCATTGCGTCTTCAAATGATTTACCTTGAGATATTTCATTTGCTACTAGTACAACATTGTAATAACAATCATTTTTATTTTGACTCTTGTTATCCATAGTAATTGATTCTCCATCGATTAATAATTCTGCATGTTTTATGCCATCACCATTATCTCTAATAAGGAATGTAATTGCTGAACCATTTGGTCGACTCAAAGTACATATCTGTTCATTATTGATACTTTCATTTTTTGTGACAACACATCCTAATATTGCATCTATCTTTTGTTGTTCATGTGGACCTGCTGCTTTATCACCTCGAATACTTCGATAATACTCTCGTGATATCGGTCTTCGTACATAAATTTTACCATTTTTATCAACATATGTTTTCACTTTATCCCCGTACAAATGATACATTTGTTGTAGACTTCTGCCATCCCCATTTTCTGGGTAAACATTCTTAGGATCCATATATATTTGTTTCATATCGATAAGTGCATCTGCTAGAAAAATAGTTAAAGCATCTGCATACTGTGTTTTCTTAGTCAGTGGATTTGCAGCTGCATGTATTAATTCAAATGTATTTGATATTTGTTCGATACGATCTGCACCAAGAAAATGTTCAACACCTCGACTAACAAAATGATTTGCCACATGTTTAAGCGCAGGTGCAAGAATTCGATTTTTAAGTTTTTCAAGAAGATTTTCACAGATAAAATTTATTATTTGATCAATTTTATCTTTTCGAAAATTTTCAAAATTTGTCAATTGATAGGTTTGATTTGGTTCAAGAACTAATTTTCGAAAATGATTCGCTTTAAGATCATTTTCAATAGTTAATTGAAATTCATTGAATTTTTCAATAATTTTCTTTTTGCCAATCATATTTATCATATTGATCGATTCACTCATTGAATCTAACCAAAAAGCCCAACGATTTTTTAAACTATTCAATAGAAATCGAATGTATTGATAACCATAGTAGACAAGATTCAGATCATCGGATAATTGTTTTTCTATTTTTTGATATAACTTTATAAAACCAAGACAAGATAAATTCTCATGATGAAATCCTTGTAATAAATCTTCTTCAATATTTACTTTCGATAAATCATTCATGAGAAAAGAATCTAATCGTTGTTTTTCTTGATGATTTCTTAATTGTTTTAATGTTTCAATTGAAAGATCATATTGATTTTGAATAATATATTCCCCAGTACCATGATTTCCTTTTCTTGCTATTCGACCAAATGCTTGCATTTCAATTCGAATATTTGTTGGTAAATAAGTTGTAATTACATGTAAACCGCCTTTTTCTTCTAATTTCTTTGATGTTTCTAAATCAGTATCTCGATCTGCTAGATTTGTTGAGATAAGAGTATCACCTGGATGTAATTGATCGATATGAAAGTCTTCATAAGCACTTTTATAATCTTTAGCATTTGGATATGTATTTGCTAAATATTCTTTGAGAATTAAAACATTTTTAACATTTTCACAAATAATTAAAACAGCCGATCTTTACTTCCTAATTTGAATTTAATTTCTCTATCTAATGCATTTTGAATCGTTTCTAACCAATTATCTTGTGATATTGTTACAGTACCTTATAATTCTCGAAATAATTCTTGTTTAAACCTTGGTAATTCAAAAAATCGAAGTTGATAAACTTTATCTAAAAGTAATTGTTCATCGAACGAACCTAATGAACCTGTTAAACCAATAATATGATTTCTACATCGTTTAAAAAACGACATATTTGATATAAAAACAGCTTTTAATGATTCAGGTGTTATTCTTCTCATATGTTTCAATTGTAAAAATTGATGTACACCATTACTCCATCGGGTTGATGCTTGTTCTATGCCAGTATCTTTATCCATAACAGTTATTTGAACATCAGATTTTGGTGATAATTTATCTCGTGATACAATATATGTATCATTAGGAGTCATATCTCTCACATGAAATGCACTTTGAATCCATATTGACATTCGTCTTTTGACTAATAATTTTATATTAATAGAATCCGATTTATATGTTTAATATTCTGGTATTTCAATATTTTTATTCTCAATTTGTTCGAATATGATATTCGATACTAATTCAATAACATCATCATCAATCATATGACTACCTATGGAATCAAACACTGTTTGATTAATTGTTTGCCAAATTGAAATAAATATTCTTTCTAAAGATTTTGATGTATCGATATTATGTGATAAATAAAGAACCATATTTGCTTTATCTAATAACATACTATCAACTTCATCGATAATAACACTTGAAATACTATTGTTTGACATTCGTTGACCAATGATATTTTGTTCGAAATCATTTTTATTAAATTCTGTTAATAAAATATCTCGTTCAAAACATGAACATTCACCATAAACAATATCGATTGATCCTTGAGAATAATATCTAAATTTTCGAATTTATTCTGCAGTTTGTTTTTCATCACCTTGTTCACAAAATATATCACAATTATTTGAAACTTTTAAATCAAATATTTGCAAAAAATGGTTGAAATTCTTTTGAATCTCGAATAGCTAAAACATTTGAACTTGTAATAACATCAACTCGATGACAAGCTAATGCTTTGATTGCAGCTAATGCTGCGACAATTATTGATTTACCTTCATCAGTTGAGATTTGTACTAAACATCCTCTATTTATTCGATTCAAATCAGGATTTAAGAATAATCATAATGCAAGAATTTGCGTTTCTCGAGGATAAAATCTCTTAAACAAATAAATCGCTCGACTAATAACAACGATCGCTTTTTGTACTTCTTCTTTATCTAATAATAATCGATTGCCTCTTACATCTTTTGTCCAAGTTTTAATCTCACTTGTCGACCAATTTTTTACCAATCGACAAAAATTATCATCTTCTTTATCGCTTAATAATGAGTTTAAATCAGCTAGAATATCTTCACCATTTGGATAGTCTTTGATGCAAGTATTTAAACTTTTTTCATCTTCTTTCTTTAATTGAATTAATTCTCGTTTTTTTGAACGTTTTTCCTTCAAATAATTTTCAATTTGTTTTTCCCATTGATTGATTTCATTGTTTTCAATTATATCAAATATCTTTTTCTCTAATGTCCATTCGTGGTTAGAAATTTTCATTAATAAATCAATAATTTGTTGAGGTATGATTTTTTTCTTTTGACACAATTTTTGAATTGATTCAATTACTTGAAACATTTTCTCATCGGAATAAATTGTTTGAATGATTTCCAAATATTCAATTATTTGAATTTGTTCATTCTTTAGAACTTTTTCATTCAATTTTAATTGATCAATTATCCAAAATCTTGTTAAATACGGGAGTAAATTATTCAATGTTTTCGAATAAATATTTTTGATGATTAACGAATCATTTTGATCATTTGACGATTGATTTTCTAATGAATGAATGATTTTCTTTAGAACTGATGTGTCTTTTAGATAAGAAAGATATTTTCTAAATCTTTTAAATTAATTATATAAATCGAATCCTTTTTTTAATTCATAATTGAATCGAGTCCTTAAAAAATGAAATAACATTTCTTTTTCATTGATATGAATATTTTTATCTAATTTTATCATTTTCAATGTTTGAGAGATATTTTTCAATAAATATTCATATATGATTTCCATTTTATAATATTTTGTTTCAATAAATTCATCTAATTGATTGAAATTTTTAAATTTGAAATTATCAAAATTAATTTCATCCAAATATCGATGAAATATTAGATTCAAATCATTTTCAATTTGATCAAAATTCAAATATAAAATTCAATTTTCAATCTGATAATTTTGTAAGAATTTTATTGCCCGATGAAAATTATTTGTACCTGATAACAAAACGAATATTTGAATTAATTTCTCGAAATTTAATTTTTTGATATTGAATTGTTTTCTTTGTAAAATCTCAGCTAACTGACTAAATTGATCGTATCCAATGAAAAAATAAAGTGTATCAATAGATGATTTTAACATTTGAATAGAATTGATTTTTTTCAATAAATTCATTGATTAAATTTTCTAACGTTGATTCAAGATTCAATGATTGACTATCATTGTTAGAATATTGAATAATAAAATCGATTAATGCTATCGAATCTTTTTTGTCTTTGATTTCGATTTGCCAACGTTTATTTAAATTCTCATCAGATGAATTACTATTCAATGAATTTTCAATAAATTCATATTGACTTTTTAAAGTATCAAAATCATATAATTTCTGTAAATTCTTAAAAACTGAATCAATACATGATCCATTTCTCGATTCCATTCATGAACATCTGTTTGTGTAAGAGAGTGAATCTTTCTCTTCATTAATCCATTGTCGTGAGACTTGATTTAATATTGAAAATGTCACTTCTATGGATATTTCAGTGTGATTCGTTTGTTCATCTGAATTTGTCAATTGTTCTTGTTCTTCTTGAACAACATTTGATGTCAATGTATCATCATTCGTTGTTTGATTTTCAAGTTTGAAATTCTTCAATTCTAAATTTGTTTTTGCAAATAATTGATTGTTCATCGAATGATTGAGAATATGTTGTTATTAATTGATTAGTAGAAGATAAAGAATTATCTATAATTTTCAATGATTCTTTAAGAATTTGATCAATTATCTCAAATTTTTCTTGATTTTCTATTTGTAAACTATTCAATTCTTGTTGCAATTGATTCTCTTGTGTACGTAAATAGAAAATTCTTTTGAATTGATAAAAATGATTATATTCATTTTGTGAGTTTTCAATTTTGAATTTCTCAAGGTTATCTTCAAAGTTTTTTATTGAAGCATGAAATCTGTCGACAGTCGTTTTTAATAGATCTTGATCTTTGTATTCTAATAATCTCCAAGAAAAATATTTGAATTTACCTTCAAAACTTTCGAAGAATTTATTTGTATCAATTGATGTTCTATCAAATGTATCAATGATTGCTTCAAATAAAACCGATAATTCATTGAAAATGCTGATACTATTCTCATATGCATAGTTATTTTCGAGAATATGTTCGATTAAAGTTTTGATCTTATTTTCAATTTGAATTGATAAGAAGATTTTGGGCGTTTGACATAATTTAACATTGATTTGTTTATTTAAATAATGATGAAGGTCATTTGTAAATTGTTTTTTATTTAAATTGATTTGTAATTCTTTAATCTTAGCTAATATATCAGTTAAGATCAAGTTTTGATTGTCAAATTTTGAAAGTTTTAATAATTTTTCGATATTAATATTTAAATACGTTTTTTCTCTATCTTTATTTAATAAATCGTTTGTTGATATATTCGACCAAAATAAATCAAGAATTTTAGTTATGAAATTATTTAAATCGATTTTCATTTGGTTTGATTTTGTTAATTCTTTTTCGTATTTCGAATGAATTCTTAATTTGATAGTTTTAATTATAAATTTTCGATATTTCATTTGAATTGAATGATCATCTTTTTCAAATTTATCGAAATTATTTTCAATACTTTTTAATATTTTCCAATAGAATTTTTTTCACAATTCGTTGAAAATTTAATAAATTATTTTTTGAAATTCTCTCGAATAAATTCAATATTGATCGATTATCAACAGATTTGTCTCGTTTTAATTGATTATTAAAATTAATAAAATCATCTTTTAATCGATTTTTTCAATAAATAATCGAATTTTTAATTTGAGACTATCTAATTGATGTTTCGAGATTTTCCTGACAATTGTAAGATGTTAGAATTAACGCTGAATTTGATTTTTTATAACAGTATAAAATATCTGAGAGATGTAATTGATGTGTTTGAAGTATATCGTTGATTGCTAATATTGTACTGAGTAAATCATTTTTTTCAAATGATATTGAATTAATAGTTTTGCCTTGTAAATATTTGGATAAATAGTTAAATGTAATATTTAAGATACGATTCTTGTGTTAATTATTAATTTTCGATAGTTGTCATTAATTAGGATATCAAATTGTTTGAATATTTCAATTAAATTTTCATTTGTTTCATTTTTTGTCTAAGCTCGAAAATTTTCATCTAATGAAAATAAAATTTCTAAATTAATATTTGAATTTTTTGAAAATTATTTCAAAGCAATTGAAACAATTTTGAAATATATCCACTGGTAACTGATTTTGCTTTTTCAAAATTTGATTAATAAAAATTTTAATAAAGATTTTTTCATCGAAAAAACAATATATTCTTTATAAATACAATCGTTTTTTGTTTGTATTATGAAATAAAGTTCTTTATATTTTTCTAATTTAATTTTATCTTCAATAAATGAATCTATTCCATTTAATAATTCAAATAATTCTTTATGTTCAATTTGAGTTAAAATAAAAGAATCAATTTAATTATCTTGTAAATGTCTATATAGAATTTCAAAGGTTTGTTCTTTGATTTTTCTTAGAATTATTTCATCTTTATATTGATCAAAACTGGTTAAATTGTCATTTGATATGACTTTTTCGTAATGAACATCTATTGAAAATTGTACAACTTGTTTTTAATTCATTCAAAATCTTACTAATTTCATTCGGTAGATTTTCGACATTATCAAGTCCACTTGCCATTATTGGACATTGCTTTTGTAGATAATTTAAGAATGTTAGTATTTCGACTTCATGTGTTGAAATTAATGTTAGATTTCTTCATATAGAATTAGAATTTCATTGGAATAAATTTATTTATGTATTTGATTAGTTTTTCGAATAATGTCATATAAAAATTGATTTCTTCGATGATCATTTTGTTGCAATTCTACAGATAAATTTTCAATGATGAATTCTTCAAATTCAACTTTGGAAGAAAAATCAAACTCTTTCTTTGTTATTTAATTAATAA